ATGTTAGAAAATTAAGTCGACCAGGTATATTTTATTTAAGGTTTTAAAGAAGCTCAAGGATAACCCATATTAATTGGCTTTACTTGCCTAAACAAAAATATACTCCATGGTAAATGCATAAAATCTAAGGTTTTTAGCCTTCAATGCTAGATGATGAATAAATCCAAACACTTTTAGATGACTTCTGTCTACCTGAGAGGATCATCTGAAGAAAGATTAAGGTTTCATTTGGGACAACTTTCTTGCTGTTTTCTAAAACTGATTTTTTAATACAAAAATTTCTAATTAAAAAATTTTTGTACTAAAATGCTACTTTTGATAGCAATAAAAAAGTTGTCTCAAATGAACCCTAAGTTTTGAAGAAGAGAATCACTATGACTTATTGCATCACCAAGCTGCTTTACATAGTTGAAAAGAAAATAAGTGGCCTCCAATGCAAACTTGTATATTTAGGAGGATCTTCTACAAGTTGATTTATGAAAGTAAATCCAATCTAAAAGATGGCATGTGATCATTAGACAAATAACTCAAGAAGATGCATAAAAAGGAAATAAGATAGTCTAAAATCTAAGGATGAACACTTAGAAATTGACTATTTTATTAAGAGAAATTTTGAAAAACTTTGGAAAAGTTGAGAATTAGAGAATTAATATTAATAATACATGTAGATCATCTTGATTTGTTGGTGGGGAGATGTGACTATCAACTAAGAGTTATTGAGTTCAAAATTTTTGTATGTTGTCTTTAATAACTTAAAAATATGCAAAAAAAAATTAATAATATTTTTAATATCGCCTAAAGATAAAAAATTTATATCAAGAAATAGGGGGATTCACATACATACCATTGTATAATAGTATTTTACATATATAACACCTAAAATATAAATATTTCCTTCATACCTCCCAAACACAATTTTAACATAAAAAATATCAACCTCATGGCGTTATCCACTTCCCTCTAAAATGCCCCTCCTCACAAACTTTTCTTTGCGCCTACTCTTCCTGCATGCTATCTCTCACACGTCTGACTTCTCACATGCTCTTTGTGACATAAGTTTTTATCACTTTCTTGTCATCGTTCAGTTTACATCGATGTAATTTGTCTTTTTTTTTCATTCCATTGTTGCGAGATCATGCAATGGTACTCGGCTAACGGGCATAAATCACCTATGCTCGCATGTAGATGGGAAACAACTCTTGGCTAAAGTTCATGGTTACTAAGTTCCAAGTATCTAAGCACCAAATATAGAAACTATTTGAAAAACTAATCTTGTAATGATAAAAAATTGTTCCAGTATAATGGTAACACATTGCAAGGAATTATTCAAACCTGCAGAACTCAGTGGGCACAGCTCAAGAACCTAATGTTACGAGTTGAAAAGGGCTCAACAATCTATGTAAAAAGAAACAAAAAAGGCTTCATGAGGAATTGGACATCACAACAGAATAAGCACTAATCACATCACAACTTTTACCTTTGTGTTTTGCATCAATCACAACTGTGGCAACACTGAAGTAGCTTCAAGGTGAACATAAAAAGAGAAGATTATCTTCATGTTTTTCCATACATTAAATTTAAATTAATGTAGAAATTATCAGGTACTCTTGGCTCGACAAAAGTATAAAGATATGCCAAAAGATACTAATGTAGTTGGGGTTAAGTATTTCAATTGAATTGAAATTAATGTGGAAATCAATGCTTCATGGGAATGACCAAGCATTAGGAACTAATTTTTAGAGGATATTGGAGGAGTTTGCAGGAGTTGGGGTCAAGTATTTCAATTGAATCATGTCAGCCTTTATCTAAAAAACGGTTTTAAGTCCTTAAATTTGGCTTTTGTGGCCTCATTGAACTTTGTTTCCAAGTTTTTCAATATTTATGTCTACTATTCTACTAACAATTTGGTGTTGGACCTGTCTTCTTATTTCAATTTGAAGTTGAAGGTAAAAATGACAAGTTATATCCAATGCATACTTTGTCAATGCATGATTACGATGACAAAGCAGGAAATAATTTATGCGGAAAGAAAAAAAAGCAAATTTTTGTTGTATTTAAATTTAGAGGATTTTGAGCTGACACCAAGAATTAATCTAGAAAGAGATATAATGATGTGCAAACAAATGAATGCCAAACTTGAGAAAAAATATATTAATATTTTTATGCTTAGCGTAGAGATTGCTAGAATATATCCATGGTTGAAAGGGTATCAATACAATATATATTGTCACATATATGGAACATCAACCAATGAATACAAAGTTATCACTTCTGACGTTGACATGAGTGAGTTGGTTAAACTATCAAATAAAAATTTGTGTGCTGAGATAGTTATTACACTTCAAGAAATTGATGAAGAAGAATCAAATTCAAATCTTATGGATGTTGTGAGTACTAAACATATGGTTGAATGTGCCATTACCTATAATGAAGGTATTGCAAGTGGTCTAAGTGTTTGGCATTAAAGATATAAATGTTGGTACATTTTTTAATGATGCAATAAGTTTCAAGCATGCTCTCCAATCATTTGCCATTAAAAGTAACTTTGGGGATTAAAGCAAGTGATAAGAAATATGTTATCACTGCATGTTCTTATCAAGGTTGTCAATTCGGGCATCATTATGTGAAAATAGTTAGTCTTTTCAAATACGGAGAGTGGATGGAGTGTACATATGCCTTGATGTGGCAAGTAATTTGACTTCATTCCATTCAAGTCGTAGCTTTTATTGGCATGAAGGAGCACCCATTGTGGCATACATACGTTGATGACTCCTATTATGTTGCTAGGTAACATATACTAGCATGATATATCAACTAGTGTTGCATATTAAATATATTAACTTGAGGATGATAATTGCTTAAGGTATAAACTTGCATATGATGGTGTAATTTCCATGCTACTTGGGAAGGATCAGTGGCAAGTAGCAGACGATATTGTGCAAGTTGGAGTGCCTAATACATCCAGACCAAGGGGGTCGGCCAAGAAAAAGAAGACAGTTAAATTTCATGGAGAAGTATAATAAAGTTCATACATGTGGCAGGTGTGCACTTTGAGGGCATCATCGGTGTACATGCAAGAACCCATTAAAAAAGATGAATGACGAAGATATCATTTTCACACAATTAGTGCAACCAAGATGAGCAAATTTGCTGAGTAGGTGGAGTACATATGACAATGAGGGTCATGAATATGAACTTTCATATCTGGATGGTTTATAAGCTCATTTAATCACTTAACTTCTTTTTCTATGGGAAAGGCTCTTTTTTTTGGTATATGAAACTCTTTTTATATGGGACAGTGCAATTTTTTTGCATGTGAAGTTCTTTTTGTACTTAACTAAAATAGAAAGGTTACACTAAATGTGAACTTCATTTAGTTCAAGATGTTTTTGATTTGCATTTACCATTACAAAAGTTTCTTTTGCAATAAAGTTTAAATCAACATAGTAGAAACAATAATGCTTGGGTTTTGATCACTTATTTTGCAATGCAGTTTAAATCAACTTAGTAGCAACAATTGACTTCTTTTGAGAAGATTTATCATTGAGGTCAGTTTTTTCTTGTTATATATATTTATATATTAAGAAGCTTTGTCGAGTGCTTGTAGGAGTTATTGTAATGTGAAGATTGGGGAGATAGCTACAAGATGTTTGATGGAGATTGAGCCTGAGAATTCTGAAAAGTATGTTTTTTTATCAAACATATATGCTCTACATTCCACAAATTCAACAAATATACAACACAATATTACGAGATAATCCAAAACTCAAGTTTAAGAAAAAGGGTGTAATATATTAAATGTCAATGAAGATGCAACACATTTTTACACAATAAGCCTTGAACAATAAGCAAACAAATGATAAACACAACACATGTCAATGTCAACAGCATTACATCGACATTCACAAACTACTTTGACACAACAAATTATTTCACAAGGTAAAACTTGATGATGGTGTCGATGAGAACAATTACAACAAGGACTTTCATCATTAAGACAACCAAATCAAGCTTCTTGGAAATCCTTACCTCGACCTCCTTTAATTCACAATGTGAGGCATAAGATGACTCTTCTAGTTCATCTATCCTTTTAAAGTAACCGCAATATTCATCTGTTTGATTATGAATGCACATATAAAATTGTCTTCCACTATTAGGTCCTCGGTAGCAAATATGCAAGACACATTTTAGGTGACAATGACAATAAACTTGAAAATGTTGACGCTTAGCTTTCGTAACAGGTGAATTTATTGAACGCATTTGACTCCACACAAAATCTGTTTAAGTAGTAAAAATATTAGTAGAATTTTGCTTTCCGTAATGCAATATAATACTAGAAGCACATAAAATAAGACAGCCAATATGTCAAATGAAGTTAAGTAACCATCATTCAAAGATGAGGAAGAGTTAGAACCTTCTATAAAACAAATATTAAAGATTCCGAAAATAGCAGGTTGATGTAATGTTTCGATTTATAATAAAATAATGTATAATACAAGAAATCAAATTGCTATTACTCCCTTATCTTTCCTAAATTTGCAAGTTTGAAGTTAATTGATGCCAGTGCTATACGATATTTGTTTCAACATTACTGTGTTGTTCACAAGCTGATTACATAACTATAGCTGCTTGATTTAAAGAAAAAACCCTCACCGAGCTACATCCCGCTCAAGTGACACCCACAAAACCTAAGCCCATTTCCTCCAAAAGCCCGTCTCTACAAACCGAACGACAACAAGAAAACGAGAAGAACTTACGTCGTTGAGATCACGCGGGAACTCGTATGCGAGAAAGAAAGCACATGGAGGTCGGACGCGAGAGAGAAAGCACACGGAAAGAGCAGACGCTGAGATAAGTTTGCTGGAAGGGGGTTGGTAGCATACAGAGTGGTATTTTTGATATTAAAATTGTGTTTTGGTGGATATTTATAGTTTATGTATTGGATATATAAAATAGCTATTATATAGTAATATGCATATAAATTCCACTCAGAAATATTATTATAACCTCAATAGAAATGTTTAGGAGATGATCTCGCAAGTAGTGGTCGTGTGCTTTCCGCTTTCCTCCACCCTGATCTAGCATCGCCTTATCTCCACCATGAAAGAAGAAACAGAGGAAAAACAAATCTAAAATCTTATTCTCCATCGGTTCCCTTCCGCCCGCTTTCACCGGCAGCCATGTAAATATGGAGGAAGCCATCCATATACGTTGTCTTAACTTTGCCCAGCCGCCGCCGTCGCCGTCTCCATCAAAGCACGAATTTTTGCCCTATCACTTACATAAGTTCTCTACTTCCTCTTCCCGAAAGTCCCACCCTCGGCACCCAATCTTCGTCGCCAAGAACCTCGTCATCGCACCGCGTGCTCCCGTTTCTTTCCCTGAATTGCCTCGCAAATCCCCTTCCATCCCTATCGATACCTCCTTCCCTTTCCGGGAAAAGATGCTCTTTCTCGATTCCGTCGGAGTCGACCTCTTCGCCCTTGTGGAAGATCACCCACCCATCGTCTCTGCTTCTATCGCTGAACTCCGCGCCGCCGTCGACTTCCTCGTCTCTCTTGGCTTCTCCTCTATGGACCTCCGCCGGATGTGTGGCATGTGCCCGGAGATACTCACAGCTGGCGGCCCTTCTGCTTTCAACCCTGTCCTCACTTTCCTCCTTCGAGAGGCTGGTGTTCAGAGTAGTGACCTCTGCTACGTCATATCACGCCGCCCGCGCCTCCTTGTATCTGACGTTGCCGGCAGGCTTCGGCCAACGCTTTATTTCCTCCAAATGCTGGGGATTTCAGAGACCGCGCGCCACGCGCACCTGCTCTCCTGTAGCGTTGAGGAGAAGTTTCTCCCACGGCTAGAGTTTCTTCAGAAAGTCGGGTTTTCATCCAGAGATGCCCGTTGCATGGCTAGGAGGTTTCCCCAGATCTTCTGTTATAGTATAAAAGCGAATCTAGAGCCCAAGCTTGAATTCTTCACCGGGATAATGGAGAGGGAGCTGAAGGAGATCAAAAAGTTTCCTCAGTACTTCTCGTTTAGTTTAGAGAAGAAAATTAAGCCAAGGTATCGGCTTTGCAAGGAAAATGCTGTATTCTTTGAGCTACCGGCCTTGTTGAAGCCCAGCGATGATGAATTCCAGCGCAGATTGGAAGTATGTGTTGGCTCTTCTACTCCACTGAGAAGGTCACCTCTTTGGAAAGAGGGTTTGAGTGATGATTATTTGTAAATTCCATTGGTATTTTCTCTGCTGAATTTGTTTACAGAATTCAATGCTAATTTAGAATCATTCGCCCATGTTCATATTGACTTTTCCTTTGCTGTACAAACTGTGCATTCCCTTTTTATTTGGTTCTATTCTTGAGGTTTATTAGGCAAATTTATACTGTCTGCTGTCTACTCATGTACTTTTGCATATTTAGAATAGCGACAGAAACAAGGATTAAGCTTTTAAGGTAAATTAATAATTAGTTTGATTTAGAGATAGTTGAAATCAAATATCTTCATACATCTACTAATTGCATATCCTAAAGCAAAAATAATTCTATATTTAAACTTTGATTCTTCTGGGAGAATTTTGTTCACCCCTGCAGTACCAATACAAAATGAATCCTCATTTACAATTTTTATGGAGTTCGAGTCAAATTTGAACATGATATAAGCTTAAAATGTTATTCAAATTTATTTATTAGTTATTTTATATCCTATCCTTGAGTTGCAAGTCCCAATATGTTCTCTCCCATTCCTTTATCAGTTCTCCATCCTTGCTTGCTCCATTTCATCCCTCATCTTAAAAAGAAACCTAAATTTTGATAAGCTTCAGGTATTCTCTCATATGCTAGTCCTAAAGTGCTATTGTAAATGTTAACTGGCTATCTGGTATCTTCTCTCATCTGCTTGTATTTCATGATACTCAATCACTTATTTTTTCCTATTTTGAGTTAGCTTTAATGCTCAGCTGCAAATCTTTTGTGTCAATCACATATTGTTTAGATTTTGTTATATGTTCTTTGTTATATATTTTTTGTCCTAAAATAGAATTATGCTACAATCTAAATGCTTGAAGATTGGTCTGGTTTGTCCTGAAAGTCAGATACTAGCTAATTTTTCTTGAAACTTGTTTGATTAGTATTTAATGCTTTCTCGTTGGTACTCCCTATTTAATCTATTTGCGTGAGACCTGTTATATTGAATGTTATTTTTCTGAATTTTTTCATCTCTCCTGTGCTGAGTTGTTCATCACTTCTATGTTGAATTTCTTACTTTGTAGCATTATCAAACTATTTCTATACAGCTATTCTTAAGGCTGCTAAATTATTCTCTATCCCTATTAAAGTGCTCGCAATTTTTTCCAATTCACTTAATACCACATGAATCTTACTAAGCATTCTGTGTGTATTTATTTTGTTTTCTCCCATTGTCTTATGCCTAAGCTAGTTTTTGATGATTATGGCTATCCTGATATAAATATCACAAACTCTTATTCAATCGTTTATTTTTATGGTCCCTCAGTTTGCTTCCATGCACTTTATACAAGCTTTTATCTTGGTGTTCTATGTATTTTCATGCGTTTCATTCAAAAGATAAAAAGGTAGCCCTAGTTGAATTTTGTTTTATTGATGATTATGAAAGTATTCTCTTTATCTCATAACCATTTTCAGTAATTATTAGTGAAATAGTTTTAGATATTTTTGTTTTAGCTTATGTTAGGATTGGCAGTTTGATATTGGTTTATAATTTGTTTTTCATTTAGCTTGTTTGGTTACAAAGCATTAGACAGTTTCAAAGATAATGAATTTTAGGTATTTATTTTTATCTATGATTGTTAATTAGATGTGTTTGCATAATTATTAATTTGTTACCTCCAACTTATGTCATGTTATTTGTAGTAGGCTTATAATCAACAAAAGTTGGATGTTGAAATTTAGGACAAGAAATATCATGAAGAGTTAAATGAGTTTCTTGATATGGTTTTTAATAACGTAATAATCACCAAAAATATGCTCCTGAAAGAGCTACAATAATAGCTGATTGCTTCCTGCTGAGGTTGCAAATATAATATGATAATTCATGGGTCTATTAGGGTTTGCATAAATTTGGTTGCACGTGGGAAAGTTCTGTTTTCGTTCGATAGTTTTTAGCAATATCAATGGTCAGGAGAAGCCAATGAAGAACTATGTTGAAGGTGTCGAGTATTTTGAGCTTTCATTTATCATAAAGTTATTGCATCTTAAATGTTTTTGTAAATGGCCTAACAAATAATTTACAATGTTACTTGAGTTGTTGAGGACGACATTTCCAATAATTATAAAATCATTGCCCTTATACAATGCAAAAGATAATTGTGGCATTATGGCTGACATGTAAAAAATGCAGTGCATGTTCAAATGATTGCAAGGAAGGATATACTTTTCATATTTTTAAAACACTTAGATACATACAAAGGAACTACAATTTAGAAGATGTCGACGATGATGATGATGATGATGATGATGTTGTTAAAGGGCTATTTATGAAAGTTAAGAAAATTCCTTTAAAAGTTATTGGCATTTTTATCTATCGAAAGGGCTTTAAAGATAGTTCATCTAATTTAAAACAAGTTCCTTCATGAGATGGAACAGATAGGAATGTAATAAAGATGGCTATATGAGACATAAGAGGGTTATGACATATGAAGAAAGGGGTTAATTGGTGTTTAAAAATTTGTAGCAATACAAATAACTGCAAAATTAAAATTGCAATTGCAAGTGATTGAATGAACAACTAAATGAATAAACAAGTATACAACTTACAAATAATTTTGAGATGATTCAACCGCAACTAAACTATATTCACGCCTAATTTTCTCCTATTTTAGGATTCCACTACACGAATTTACTATTTAAAGCCTAACAAATTCTTCATTCCTTAGGCTAGTGGAAAAATTATGACAACAATGTACTCTCTTTTACGGGTTTGGGCAACTGTTTGGCTGTTGAACAAAGTACGACATCTCCATTATATTTTTCTCAAATGATTTTGCTTTGAATGCTCTTACTCTTGCTTTTCTTTAAATGGTTTCGCTTGATAGATTGGGAGCTTGGGAAACAAGGTTTTTGAAGTATGAGAGAGTTTTGTTAAGGAATTCTTCTAACCCTTTGAAAGATCAAATAGAGGAGTATAAATAAGCTTCTCAATAGTTTCCAACCCTCCCAATTGCTACATGTAAGCCTAAAAAATTTGTTTAGTCAAAACCTAAAAATGGTTAATTAGATGATTGTATGTACAATAAGATTATATTTATATGGTTATTGGTCGTATGTATAATCACTTCAAGTTCAATAAAAATTCGCTATTGATTGTATGTATAATTCCAAGCTTTAGAGTTTATTTAAAAAGATTTATGATGATGTTTTTGTAACTAGAGGATTAATAACAACAAATATTTTCCAATTATCAAGATATGCTAGATCATATTTTTGATTGCTCAATTGCATGTACCATCCATAAATCGTTTGTACAATATTCTAGTGCTTAAAATATTATGGAAACTAAGTCATATGATCACCTAATCAAGTCCAATTTCCTACCAAAAGGTTCTAAATACATTTTGGGTCATAACTGATTTGGGTTTATCTGTAGACTTGGGAATAGATGCTCCTAAAGTAGGGCGTCTAGTTATAAAGCTTTAAGGAAGTTTCTTTTGCTTCTCTATAAGTAAGCTTATTGGCAAGTTCCCAATCATTGTATGTTCAGTTGACTCTAGTAATTAGGTTGTCATAGGTATTCAAATAGTCACATGTAGGTTCCCTTGCCTAAGTCAGTTGTATTCTATGAAGCTCTTTGTTATAATGTCTTATAATACTTTGACCTTTACATTTTCTTTATCTCAATCAATGTAAAGGTAGTTCTATTTATTCTCTCTTCTTTTATTATAATATTATTTTAATTGATTCTAGAATGTCCTATCAACTTCATCTTAGCAAAGGCTATCTTTTGAAAATCATCAAAGCTTTTTTAATAAAAAATTTCTTCCATCTCGATAAGCCAATAAATAATCTATTGTGGTCATGTATTACATCAAATGTGGTTTCTTCGACATGGATTACATCAAATGTGGGTGCTTCGACTTTAACTTCCTTACTAAGATAACAGGAATCATCAGCCCTGAATTCATTCATATTAAGTGATGATCTAATATGATGCTTTCCTCTAAGGCTGTGCTATATGGGCACATATTAAATCAAAATTCAAGGTAGGAATGAGTTATGCAAAAACGTAAGGATGCTTGATGAAGGACCATTTGGTGGTGGGTTTAATGTGTGAAATTATTTAGGATTGCTGGTTTAGGCGTGGGAATGATGTGTTAGTTGAGGGAGAGGCCTATTTGGTGGTAGTGGAGAGGTGTCGATTATGTAGTAAATTCTTTTCGGATACTTAGGATGGAAGGAAGGCTCATGAAGACCTTATAAGGAGTGGTTGGGGAGGTAATTCAATGATGTAAATGTTGGGGTAAGGTAAGTTGGAATACAAAGGAAAGAACTGGCCTAGTTCTTCCTGGGGGAGGTGGAGCCCTATAGCTAAGTAAGGATTGGGCTGTGGCTAGGAGAGGAAGTGCCTTGAGGGCCTAAATGATAAGTGATGAGGTCATCGATAGGAGATTTCGGCGCGTCTATCAGAGACGACCACGGAGATCGACGGCCATGATGGAGAGCCTCTATTATTGATTTTACTTGTACTAGTAGTTTATATGTTATGCATTTATTTTCTTAGTTTTCCCATTTTACCCCTGAGGGTATTAGTTGCTCTTGTAGCCCCAAGGGGCATTTTAGACTTTTGCATTTAATTTTATTTGGAGCCTATTTATATGGCCCATTGTATCTTGTATGAGATTATTGAATTATTGAGAATGAAAATTTTATTTTCTTATTGATCTCTTAGTGAGTTCAGAAGGATCTCTTTGTGAGTTCCGAGACTCTCAAGATCTCTTTGTGAGTTCTTGAGAAGAGTTTCGTGGATCTCTGTGGGAATTCCGACATCCCTACAATCTCCTTTGAGATCTTGAAGAAGAGATGCGCGAGGTTAGGAAATTCCAATTTTTTTTTCCTGTTTCTTCTTGTGTCCAAACACGAAAATCCTTCCCCCACTTCTCTCTTGCCGCCGGCCCTTTAGTTCGGCCAGAGAATTTGGTCGCTGGCCACCCGTCCCGCTACCAATCCTTCCCCCCCTTGCCGATCCTCTCCCTCTCTTCCAGTAGCCGCACCTGGCTCCTAGCCCGCCGCCCTTCCCCTGGAATTTCGAATTTGAAATTCCACTATTTTTTGAG